CTGACATCACCGCCGACCTCAGGAGTCGTCAAGGAAAGGTCACCCCCGATGATGTTTCGATTTGAGGCGCCACTTCCAGGGCCACCCATCGTCTCTTAGACGGGGCCTCTCCACTACCAGCACAGGATGACTCGCCCTTGAGCGGACGATAGAAATCGAAGTCTCAGGTTGAGAAACGGCCGTCGCGCTTGCAGCTCCAGCCGCAGGTGCAGGTTAGCGGCTCTCAATGCAGGCCAGATAGCGGCCCTCGGCGCAGGACGGGCAGGAGGCATCGGTTGAAAGAATGCGAGTGGAGGAGCCCTCGTCCTTCGCGTTCTCCCTGCCAACAAAGAAAAACGATCATATAACGATAAGATCGAACCATAAGGCAAAGAGAACAATCTGACTCACTAGTGAGGGGTTTACGCCCATATTTCTCGTGGAAGGATGCCCACTCACGAATGCCCCTTGTATGAGGAAGAACTGCGCCCACCCACTCACGGATATCGTCAACTGGCGGGGGAGGTAATCTCTCGGCTACAAAAGGGAAAACAAGTCAGCAAAATCACCCGAAGGAGGACGATCGGCGACCGCCTTGGGAGAAAATCACAAAATAAACAGAGGAAAACTTACGAGCGAAGTCCCACGTCTCAGGGAACCCTGCCGGGTCCGCCACAAGGTGCTCTGTCCGCACGTAAAAATAGCTTTCGTAGAAGCGACGATTAGCCTTATCATCCATCTTCACCACTAAACTCTTTGTTCCTCGATGGCGCATATGGATCATCGTGCCCCGAAGAAATTGAGGGGCAAAAATATGAAGCATGTGCCCCAAAGTAATCCCTCGACCAGCGAGCTCTCTATACTTGATGAGCATGAGGAAGAGCTTGTACGCGTACGGTGAGAGCTGGGCCGGACACACCTCATAGAAGCGGCAGAAGTCTATCACTAGAGAGCGGAAAGGAAGCGTATATCCGACAACAAAGGGATACACATAAAATGCACAGTACCCTGGGTGGTTCAGATGTACGATGTCCGCCCCCGTCGCTGGTATCATGTCAATATGGTTTGGGATTCCCCACTTAGCCTTGAGCGCCCTAATCGCCGTTTCATCCATGGTGGAAGAGACAGGTTCCGGTTCATCTTCGGCAGGGGTGTTAAAGTCAGTCCATAATTTCCCCGGACGGGGCAGTATCTCATCCACAGTCGGAAACCTCTCATCTTCCGTCACCTCCGTTCCTTCTCCATGAAGGGGTACATCATTTTCCGGCACCGGAGCTTCGACGAATCTGTCAGTCTGGGAAGAGGTACCAGCCATTTAACTAGCTCGATCGGAATAGACAAAAAAGTGATGAAGATATAGAGAGGGTGGTCACGTCAAAATTCTGATGAAAGCAGAAGTACGAAATATGGAAGAAAGTGGAAGTTTGTGAAATTCCTCAGGTAAATCGAAAAGCGTAACAATCGAATGGTGGGTTCCCCCATATACAGGGACACAAATGCCCTGAGCGGAAAACCCGAGAGTCTCCAAAAAGCTAAAAGGGCACAAGAAATGATGCAATGCCTGGGAAACGTGTGTCATCATGACACATAACGGGCACTCATGGTATCCCGACTCGACGTGACGATACATCTCCGAACGGAAGTAACGGTCTGGTAAAGCCCTTAAAACATCACATTGCCACCTCGTCATAAGGACCCCGTCCACGCATAATGATCAGATTTCTCCAAATTCTTGAAACACATAGGGTCCGCCCATTGAGCTCGCCCAAAAGACGACCCCTAATAGGCGGAGGGACTAACTGTATGGGTCGAAATCTAACCACCAGGTGGTTATCATAAAACGAGACGGTAGGAGGTCGACCCCGCCATGGTCGTGCCCACGAGGCGTAATGGCGACGGGCACCACGGTCCCTGCTGGGGCCGTGCCGTTAGAAAGCTTATATCGCAGAATAAGTGTAATCTCTAGGGCAAGTAATGAAGGATCAGTCATGAGAAACCACGCCGGTCAAAGACCGTCGGATAAAAGGGAAAATTGTTAGTATATATAGAGGGGCAGGAAACCATTATAGAGGGGCTAGATCTGGCTACTACAGGGAGGATCATGATGACAGAACCAAGAACCAAAGGGACCTCTTAGCTAACAACAGCTCTCTCTCTTCTCCTTCCATGCTTTTACGATTGTAGCATAAACCCGTCATAAATGTAAGCTTATTATTTCCACTTGATATGTAATAATCATCTGAGGAAATATTAGATCTATTTGTTCTTCTCCAATTTTTATATCCAATATATTTGGATCTAAAGTTAATTATGTTTAGTTAAGATTTACCTTTCTCTATCTACTAAGTTGGTTTAATCAAAGGGTCTAACGATTTTTTGGTAAAACAATGAGTACATAGGTTATGAAATCATAATACACGAGGGTAAGCCAATCTATACAATAATATGCAGTCTAAGCCTTGTTCTTCTATCTTTTTGTTAAAACAAGTTGGCCACCATTGACATTTAACATTAAGGAGGTCAAGTTTTATAAAAAAAAATTCTAAAATAGAAGGAAAAAGTTCGCTGAGTTCTTTTGGACTAAAGAGAAGCCTAAGAAATGACGCCAAAAGTAACTACTCCATTAAACCCTCAATTAGGTCACTTCTAAGGACTGGAGGCTTCCGGAAAAAAAAGGAGTAGTAATGGAGGCCAAAAAGATTTATAACCTGTTTGGTCAAGCTTTTTTTTGGCCAAAAGTGTTTTTTTTTTTTTTTGTTGTCAAAAGCACTTTTGTCAAAAAATTGAGGTGTTTGGCCAAGCTTTTCGAAGGAAAAAAAGTGCTTTAGAGGAGAAGCAGAAGCAGAAAAAAGTAGCTTCTCTCCAAAAGCACTTTTGAGAAAAATACACTTAGAAGCAATTTTTTAAAGCTTGGCCAAACACTAATTGCTGCTCAGAAATGCTTTTCAAACTAATAGCCTGTTTGGCCAAGCTTCTTTTTGGCCAAAAGTGATTTTTTTTTTCCAAAAGCGCTTTTGGCAAAAAATTGAGGTGTTTGGCCAAGCTTTTAGAAGTATAAAAAGTGCTTTTGAGGAGAAGCAGAAGCAGTTTTGGAGAAGTAGAATAAAGTAGCTTCTCCAAAAGCACTTTTTTGAGAAGTACTTTTGAGAAAAATATACTTAAAAGCAGTTTTTTAAAGCTTGGCCAAACACTAATTGCTGTTCAGAAGTGCTTTTCAAACTAATTAGCCAACCACAAACTGCTTCTTACCAAAAGTACTTTTGAGAAAAGCACTTTTGGAAAAAAGTACTTCTCAAAATAAGCCGATTTTTGCAGCTTGGCCAAACGGGAATTATAGCCTGTTTGGCCAAGCTTCTTTTTGGCCAAAAGCACTTTTGGCCAAAAATTGAGGTGTTTGGCCAAGCTTTTGGAAGGAAAAAAGTGCTTTTGAGTAGAAGCAGAAGCAGTTTTGGAGAAGCAGAAAAAAGTAGCTTCTCTCCAAAAGCACTTTTTTGAGAAGCACTTTTGAGAAAAATACACTTAGAAGCAGTTTTTTAAAGCTTGGCCAAACACTAATTGCTGCTCAGAAGTGTTTTTCAAAAAACTAATTAGCCAAAACACAAAACCGCTTCTCACCAAAACGTAACTTTTGTAAAAAAAACCAAACTTCTCAAAATAAAGACTGATTTTTAGTCAACTTAGGTCCAAACGGGACGTATAGAATTACTGGCATATATGTCCAAGGAAAGTAGATCACTTTAGGAGTCAAGCCACAAAGCTATGTGCCACTTCTGCTAATTAATACTTATTTTAAAGTATAACTGTANAAGTGCTTTTGAGTAGAAGCAAAAGCAGTTTTGGAGAAGCAGAAAAAAGTAGCTTCTCTCCAAAAGCACTTTTTTGAGAAGCACTTTTGAGAAAAATACACTTAGAAGCAGTTTTTTAAAGCTTGGCCAAACACTAATTGTTGCTCAGAAGTGCTTTTTAAACTATAGTCAAACACAAACTACTTCTCACCAAAAGTACTTTTGAGAAAAGCGCTTTTAAAAAAAAGCACTTCTCAAAATAAACTGATTTTTGCAGCTTGGCCAAATGGGCTATTAGCCAAACACAAACTGCTTCTCACCAAAAGTACTTTTGAAAAAAAATATTTCTCAAAATAAGCTGATTTTTACAACTTGGCCAAACAGGCTATTAAATCTCTCACTTAGGGGTGAGCGCTCAGATTAGATATAAAAATTTTAGTTTGGATTTTTGGTTTTCGGATTGAGGAAATAATCCAAATTCAATCCAAATAATCTCGGATTAGAACGAATTTTTTAAGTTTCGTTTAGAATTAATCAGTTTAGATACTTTGGGTTTTCGGTTTTGAGCTTATAAGTTGACATGTTTCTTCTTTTTTACTAAAATGAATATCCAAATGAATTACTTATGTTAAATTGCCTCAAAAGTTCCTTATTGTCACCGCAATTATCCAAATAAAATATACAAGTAATGATATTATTATCAAGGAAATGCAACAGAGACATTAATATGGCCGATATGAAATAGCACTACTAAAACCATGTCCAAACAAAAAAATATCCTGACAGTAACTTAGTAATTAATACTAAATTTATGAGATAATATCTAATGGATAAGGAATTAGAACTTATTACTATTAGCATATGGATAATGAACTAAATTTAAAGTATAAAAATTTTGAATATCCAAAAATCTGAAGTACCAAATTCAATATCCAACCCGAAATTCAAAAATTATATCCATAATCCAAAAGTTCAAAAAATTCGGATTTCAAATTTGCCCGAACTATGCCCACCCCTACTCTCAACCTATCTCATTTTAGGCGACATTTACTAAGTTTGAAGTTTTTTTGAATAAACGTTTCCAGATACTTTTTGGAAAACAAATTAGAATTATTTTACAACAATTTAAGTAAATAAATACTGTTCACATAATAAAGAATCAACTTTTGACCAAAAAATAAATAAATATACATTCGATGCTTTTAAGTAACGTTTAATAATTATACATATCATATCCGTAAAATATCCGCTCTATCCAAAGAAAAGAAGGTTATGGTGGTGGCGGGCAACGTCACTCTGTAAACAAAGTTCAGCAGCCTCGAATCTTTTATTTCCCCCGTTTTCTTCGAATTTTCTGGAATAAAAACAACAACTTCTCTTTCCCCTCCTTCCTCTTCTACAGAATCCACCTGAGGTATGTTTAGAATTGATATGTTATTTTCTTCTTCCCCAACTTATGATTTTGATTTTCGATTCTACTACCTTTAATTGTACGTTTTATTTTCAAGGGCATCAGGTCAATGTTGCAAGCAGTATCTGTCCCAAAAAGTTGCTGTATATCATATTCAAGAATCCCTTCTTATCAAAAGCCTTTAGTTCCCACAAGGCTTAGAGTTTCAGCTTCACTCCCAGAGCCTAATGGGGTTAAAGTTGAGTACACTCCTTGGTTAATTGTCGGATTGGGAAATCCCGGTAACAAGTATCATGGCACTCGCCACAATGTAATTCCAAAGTTCAATTTGCTCTTTCACTGACATTGTTCTTTAAAGAATGCATTTTTCTTGTTTTTTGATTATGGGATTTTGTCAATTAGGTTGGTTTTGAAATGATTGATCGAGTTTCTCAAGAGGAGGGAATCGTATTAAACACAATACAGTCGAAGGCTTTGATAGGAATAGGTGATTATTCTATTTCTAGTTGCCTTAATGGGTGTTTCCCCCACCATTTGCAAGCGTTGACGGGTACTTGTTTATGTGTTTGGTACAGGTTCTATAGGGGAGGTACCTGTGGTCTTGGCAAAGCCTCAGGCCTACATGAATTTCAGTGGAGAATCGGTATGTATTCAGCTGCTTTGATGTTCAGCTTGTCAGTGCGACTACAAAATTTTCATAATCACTAGTTCTTTAAATAAGAATGCATTCAGTAGTATGGTGGGCATTTGGACAATTCAAATAGTTTTTCCTCGACGGATTAAGCATATACGTTCTCTACTGTTCCAATTGAAATGGGCATTTGCTAATATCAGCTGTTGTGTTTGCACGGTTGTCAAGAGGTTACTTTTAGTTTTCCTTCTTAGAATAAGAATATGATACGGATGTGGCTGTTATATTGTCACTGATGATAACAATTACTAATTGGTTGTGTCACCTTCGGTTTTTGATTAGGCTATCTCTGCCTTGTATACAGGTTCATTATGAAGTCTACTTATTAGACCAAATGTCTCTTCTTAAATCAGCTTCTACTTGCATTAAACGTTGTCACTTAAACTTGTGCATCTACCTCATAAATAATGTGGAAACACATATCAGGTTCTTTGATCAACTATCTAATTTCTTTAGTTCGAATGATTTGTTGGACCTTCATCTCCACTTAGCCAGCATCCATCTGCAATATATTGAACCCTGCATAGGGTAATTGATTGTGAATTTTTTTGCCTAAATCTGATGCATATTGCTGGATAAATTACGAAAAATATCCATGGATCAGAGTTGAATGTATTGTGTGAATAGCCACATTAAGGGTGAATTGTGAAAGGATTCACTCACTTTCTGATTTTTGACAGAAGTTCACAATTTTTTGGCCTCTATCATGCTAGCAAATGTTGTGTGGAAATGAGGTAGTGATGTAGAATAGACTATGAATTCAGACATATTTTCCAATTCTCAATTTACTGAACTTTGTCAGGCTTGTTGGTACATTGAAGTATCAGCCTTAGAATGGAAAAGAAAGCTGCTCTGTCAATACTTCGACTTGCTAAATATTATTCCACTACTAGCCCAAAGGCAGGGATTCTAGAGCAACTGAGTTTCTGCTTTCTCTTTGATTTTTTAATTTCTTTTGCCGTGTCTCGTCTCACATGTATACCTGACTAGAGTGCGACCAAGATTTGCTTATGCTGTCAATTCTTTTCCACACTTATTTTAGAGTGTTCGGCACTTTATGTTGTCTTGTTATGAGTTAGCCATTTAGATGACAGAACAAGGTTGAATATGGTCATTTCAGTTTCCAAACCAAGTTCCATCTCAAAAAAAAAAAAAAAAGTTCCAAGCCAAGTTTAAAATAATGTTGCTGATGGTTTATTATAATCTCATGTATGGTATGTGATATTATAGATGTCATGATAAAAGATTTCTGGTTGTTTACTTAGTTTGATCTCTGAAAGTCTCTCCCGATGTTTTCTCCTTCAGTTCTTTTCTTCTTCTTTCTCTTTTAGTTCTCATATTAAGGGTGCAATTTTCAAAACTTTTGTATCTTTTATGGTTCCCTCTTCTTATGAACAATACTCATAAATCAATTTTTGCTTTCTTTATTCCCTTGCTTTTTTTTGTTTGTTTCTTGACTGTTGAGTGACTGTGTCCTTTTTTTCCCTGGTGGGTGGGAGTGGTGGGGCTTATATCCCTCTTTGATAAATATGGGCCTAATCCAACCTCTCTTTTTTTTTTAATCTTAATAGGTCGGACCACTTGCTGCATATTATCAGGTGCCACTGCGTCACATCCTTCTGGTATGATTTTTGCAACTAATATTATGATATTGTTGTAGAAGATAATACTTTCTTCCCCACTTGAGAGTTGAGGGTGAATGTCACAGTGTATATGTGTGGTTCAAAATATTTATTTCCATCATTTGAAGTACATTTTTCGTACTCATCCTTGTAGGTTTATGATGAGATGAGCTTACCAAATGGTGTTCTGAGGGTTCAGCCTAAAGGAGGACATGGCCACCATAATGGGTATTGTCTTTTAGTAGTCAAATCTCTATGACATTGGCTTAAGATACTGTATTATGTGTAATATGAGAAGATTGATACTGTCTCTAATGCTTAAGTTTTTCAGGAACGAATTCAGTTACAAAAAATCATGTTTTATCGACTGTTCATTTTGCAGGGTGAAAAGCGTAATGGAGCATTTGGATGGTCGCCGAGAATTTCCACGATTTTGCATAGGTTTGTCCTGAGTGCTAATCATTTGTTTGTGAAACCATACTGACATATTTACCAATAGAATGCATGTTGTTATACTAATAAAAATTGCTTCTATAAATCCCAAGCTCAAAAGCATGTATTCAATGTATGTATGTAGGCATCGGAAATCCACCTGGAACTATGGACATGAAGGCATATCTTTTACAGAAATTTAGTGATACAGAGCGGAAACAGGTATTGAGCTTCTTGATACTTGTCAAAGGACTATTTATCTTATTTCATCTTGAAAAGCATTCCAATGAATGGGTCAAGTAGTCTGTTAAAATTCATTTTAATATGTGATTTCCTTATATTCTTTGTTTGTTCTGCAAAATGTATGTCTCTTCTTGTAAAATAGACATCAGAATAAGGTGGTGCTAGGCTAGGTATAGCTAAATATTTTTCTTCCTTGTGTGTATGCATATGAAGAATGACGAGGAACTGTCAGTTGGTTTATCCCTGCCCTTCATTACGTCGTCTGCCACTTTCCCTACTTATCCATGAGAAAATTAAACCTAAGCAAGAATAAAAATGTGAGATCATGTTATTCAGTAATGTTTTTCATGTTTCTCTTGTTGTACATGAGCAGGTGGATGCAGCACTTGATCAAGGAGTTGAGGCTGTCAGGACGGTAGTATTGGAAGGCTTTGGCAGTAGAATTTCACGATTTAATATAGGACAGAAATACAAGTATCACAAAGTTTGATGAAATGAATCTAGAATGAAGGTGTAAAAGACCACAAGATTTACTGATAACTTAAAGTCTAGTTAGTCGAGCGTTGCACTGGGAGTCCACTTAGAAAGTGTTTGGACTCTGAGTAATGCTTATAGTTTCATGCTGGCATGCAGCTTTTGTAAACACTTGTAGAATAAACTTATTTAAAAGTAAAAAAGATAGAATTTTTGTTTGTTCCCTCTTACGGTTGCAATTTTGTTATTGATCAGCATGTTAAAAATGTGCGGCTACAGGTTTTGTTATTTACTTTTCCCTTCTCTTAGAAGGATAGATGTTTTGACTATTGCATGAAAACTAGTAAGCTTGTGAAGCAGTAATCAAAATCTCTTGCTACTAAACTTGAGTTTGCATACTCTCATTTTGAGAATGCAGTCCTTATCATATGTGAGATAGTGTTGATATCGGTTGTGACTTGTGTAAAATATTGGTAATGAGTTTATATACATTGACTTACTTTCTCCATTTGAGGTTGAATGTTTATAAATTGACTTAGTAGTATATACTATGATGTCTAATGAGTAGTGACATAGACACTCTAGAGCAAGTTGTGTTATCTAACATCGCTTTGTACAAATTTTTTATTACATCATCTGAAATGATGCAAATATAAGTATTAATTTGAGACAAAAAATAATAGAATTTCACGTTAAAAATTTTCGGAGCTCTAAGAGGTAGAAGTTGACCTGTAATAATAAACTAATATTGCTCGTACAAAATCTTGTATATGACGCTGCGAGCCCGTTTGGACATAAGAATTTTTTCACTTTTTTTCTAAACCAGTATTTGGCCATAAAATTTTTAATTTTCACTTGAAGATGAATTTTGGAATTTTTTGAAAATTTGAAAACTAAAAAAAATTATTTTTCAAAATTATCACTCGGATCACTCACAAAACTTCAAAACAACCCAAAATTATATTCATGTCCAAACAAAACTCTAATTTTCAAATAACATTTTCCTTTTTTTTTTTTGAATTTTACAATTTTTATGTCCAAACGCCCACTAAAATTTTTCCTTTTCCGCAAAAAGGACCAGGAAAATATTGTAAGTTGGAATGAGGTAATTTTGGTTTATCCACGTGTGCAAATGAGAAATTGCCGTCCGATTTAGAAAATTCTTGCGAGAAGAAATGGTCCTTTTCTTTTAAACGGCAATGTCTCCGCATTTTCCTTGTAATTTCGCATAGGATACCAACGTTAATCTGGTAAATACTTACTCACACTGGGTGTTTACATCAAACGAATTTAACTCACTATGGTTAATTAATTTAATTAGATGAAAATGCATGTAATTTATCATGGTGAAATGATTGAAGTCCATATACAAGACACATGTCATATATCTATTGGTTTGGTGTAAACCCCGATGCGGGTAATTTTTTACCCGTTAATCCCCATGCTAACCCTTTGATTCATAGAATCCCAAAAATATCCCTAAACACAGGTCTTTCGGTTTAGTTAGACTTGGGACCCACCTTTTTCAATACGAACGTTAGAAACCAAAAGGGGGAGAAAAAGCATAAAAAAAAAACAGTAAACTCAGTCCTATTGGCTTCTTTAATTAGACCGTTGGAAACTCATAAATCTTTTGAAAAACAACAAAATTTTCATCAAATCCAACAACTCCCCTTAAACTCCAAACACAAAACTCCAGTGAGCATTAGCTCATTCATTCCTTCACATAACTATGGCAGGGACCAGTGAATCTCTGCTTCAAACTCAAACCCTTAATTCTCTTTACACCGCACTTGATCCAAAATCCCTTCTTCTCTCACAATTCTCAAATTCTGATCAACCCCAATTCCTTCAACTTACCACTGACTGTTTTCTCATGGAAAAGGGACCTCGTTACAAAGCTTATGCTGATCTTAGAGAAAAAAAGTTAAGAATAAAACATATGAAACAATCAATCCCTGAAGAAGAAGAAGAAGAAGAAGAAGAAAAAGATTACAACAATGAGTTGTTTGATCTAACCCCACCAAAGAAACAAGTCAAATTTCAAGGGAATTTTGTAACACCACCAAAAAGGACAAAAGGGTCATCTATTTTGACTCAATCAGTACCTGATTTTTCATCAGCATTTAGAAAAGAAAATAGAAAGCCACCTACTATGTTACCAACTTTGAAGGAGAAATCAGCAACTCCACCACCAGCTGGTTCAAAAAGTGGGAAATTTTATGGGGTTGTTGGGAATATTGGAGGTAGTAAATCAGTGAATTCAGGGGATAAGAGAAATGGGGGTTTAATGACTAGAAAAAGTTATGCAAATGTTGAGGAACTGAAGGGATTAGCTTCTGTTGCAAGAAGTGCTATTAATGGAGATAACAGAGTTGGAAGAAATAGCAGTAGAATTGCTGGTAAGACTATTCTTGGATATAGACAATTATAAGTCTCAAAAATCTGAAGATTTGGAGGAGAAAAAAAAAGGGAAGCAGTTGAGTTCTTTTTTCTTGGGGGGTTTTTCATTCTTTGATTTTTACATTTGGTTTGCTTTGAAAGATTGGTTTTTTGGTTTACTTTTTGTTTTTATAGAAGATTGATTGATTTTTCAATATTTGGCTCGGAGTTGTATAGAGCAATGGTGTGTGAATGAAATCGGAGTGAGGAGCTGTAACCTACTGGGAATTACAGAAAGTTCTTTGCTTATGTGTGTTCTTTGGTGAACAATTTAATATCTTAATAATAGTGATATTTTTTCAATGCTCAATCTATGGTGGTCAATTTATTCTGTTTCCAGCCCCTCCCAGAAAATTAAGGGGCAAAAATCCATTAAGATGCATATTTCCACAGCTTGTATACTAATTTTGAAAGCCAAACATAAGAGGTTTAATAATGGAAGTGCTTTCAAATTGTTCTTAAATGCTGTTTTTAATAAGTTACAAAAAGAAAAAGGGCAGCCTGGTGCACTAAGTTCCCGCTATGCGCGGGGTCCGAGGAAGGGCCGGACCACAAGGGTCTTCCCGTGACCTCCTGGTCACATGACAGCAACTTTACCAGTTACGAGGCTCCCCTTCATTTTTAATAAGTTAAATGTTTGTAAATCATTTCTCATTTTTGGCCTGTCATCCTGGTGCAAAAAGCAAGTATACAATCAGATGCAGAATCTATTGATTTGTACAAAATACTTTGCTTGAAATTATTGAAGCCAGAGTTACCACATGATAGGCTACAATTGCAAACTCTCATAAACAAAAGGAGCTACTACTAAGAGTTACATCTGAATTTAGCTAGAACAGTAGAGGTCTAAAACAACTTCATCTACTAATACTTGGAGAATATGCCTATCAACTTCAGCGCCACACTCAAATGCTTCAATGTCGAAATCTATCCATTTACCCAAAGAATGGCTCATATCCCATTCTATTAACTCGTCCGGGATCAAACCAACAAAATCTGTCCACACTTTGACCTCTTCAATAATATCAGCAATCAGAATCTCTTTAGTCATACTTGATGGTTGTTTGGTCCATGTTCTGAAACCAGAATTTGAGTATCGACCAAATGTCATGTCTAGGTACTCTATTACACAATCAAAAGCAAATCCTTTAAGCTGATTCATCTGTTTTGGGTCGTTACAGCCGAGCAGCTGACCAAAAGTCATCCATAAAAGACTTGATAGCATATCAAGTTCATTGATGAGGAAATGGCTCACAGAAAACCCATCGTCTACAGGTAGAGGTGTGGTTCCAAAACAAAGTTCAGCACTCAAAATGACCTCTTTTGCGTGACTGAGTTTGCTTCCTTTTAACTGATCAATCTTGCTTAGCACTCCAGAAATGTTGTTAACATGGTCTGTGATCAGTGCTCCACAACTCCTCCGGCTGAATAATGAGGTTGCACAATCCGAAAGATCTCTATCAGTTTCTAGGAAGAGTTGTTCATCATTGATAGAGTCCACAGATTCAGCAAGCAATTTGTCCTCTGTAGGTAAACAAGCACATATATTAGAAGCATGCATGAATGAAATCCAAGGTGTCTTTTTTTTTTTAAGAGAAAGAAAGAAAGAAAGAAAGTTTGCGAATAGTAAACTTTGAACGAGGGACCATACTTGAGCTACTATTGGGACTGCTGGAGAGGCAGCTGTCATTTGAAAAGCTAGCTTCAAGAACACATCCTGGACTACGGTGATCAATATCAAGTGAATTCCCAACTACATTGGTTGCCGAATCTGGTGTGGCCTGAGCAGAATTTCAAAAGCAATAAGAAGATTCAGATTAATATAATAGCAGTATAACTGAAGCAAGCGCATTTATGCATTTTTGTGGTACTTGAAAAGCAGCGAAAGAAGTTATTATTTCTGAGGGGGGAAATGGTGGATGATGAATAGTGAATAACTAAATCATTAGCATCCTGAAGTGCTATTTCCTGACTACTATTAGTATAGTTCCACGGTTGCCTGTGCTCTGCATTTATTAAGAAGCCAAAAGCAGTTGAATAGTGTGTGTAGAATGTGCACTTCATTTCTAATGGAAAACAAGAAAATGCATGAAAAGAATATGCTTCTATGCAACTAGTCAGGGAAAGTGAAGTATACATCTGATCCAATCAAATGGCACTTAAATCAAGCAAGATTATGGTTCTTTGTATGCATGAGCGCCATGAGTATACTAATTTGGTACATTCAATAGTAAGTGTTAATGCTAACAAGTACTCTCATAGGCAATGAACAGTTCAACCCACTCAGCTAAAGTTAAATTAGCCAGATCAATCAATCATGAAATTTAGAATGAAGTTACCAGTATGAAAGTCTATGCTCTATTTAAATGCAGAGTATTACTAGGCTTTGCTTGATTTAGTCTTTCTAATTTGTTATCTAACCATTGGCTTGTTCTGTGTGCTCTAATTCAATATATTATAAACCAAACAGAAGCGTTCTTCTTTAATAGAATGTACACTATAAGTAATATTGACTGCACTAGCACCAAGTATTGGTATAGTATAATATAATCACACAAAGGAAGAAAACCAGTTTCATCAAATGTATGATTAATTATCCACAAGCCCAAAGCTGTTTACCCTCTAGGAACCGTAGGTACTTATGTCGCACCAGCTTAAAAAAAAAAAAGGAAAATATATCATAAGAGATCATTCAGTATTTCATTTATTGCAACTTCAGGTAGTTAACATCAAAGCAATGCTAACCTGGAAATTCATGCAAGTATTTCTAGAGGACACACCAGCATAATCACACGAATCTTCTTTTCTGCTAGGTCTAAGAGGTAAACTATCCAGATGAAATTGTCTCTCTGCATTCAATGCAGTAATTAACTCCTGAAGGATCGTAGCAGTGCTTTTCTTACCCCCTTCTGCGAACTCTTCTTCACTAGTCAATTCCTTCAGCTTTTGCTCCAGAAGTGCTCCTAAAGTGTCCCCTTTCGAAGGTAAGGGTTTCTGCAAGCATGTTGTTTCATCATTTCCTTTAAAGAAGGATCTTCCTGGAGTAGCACCAAAACTTGAGCCATTTTGCGACTTCCTTTTTGTGACTTCTGCATGAATGTCAACCTTCTGATTCATTGCAGATTTAAATGTAAAGGAAACAACATTACGTCCCTCAGAACTATCATTGATTGCGGCACTCTCTCGCAAACATGGCAACTTCGGTTTAGTGGAATGCCGATCACCAGAACTAATCGGAAAAACATCCTTTCTACTTGTTTTGTCAGAGTAGGGACTCAATTCTCTGCCCAAACTCGCATTTCCATAAGTCGAACTTTCACCTTGTCTGGAAACATTCATTAATCGCTTCTTCCGCACCGGAGAGAGGGAATCACTTCTCCTTGAACAAGGTTTTCTTTCAGTTTCAAACTTGCAGCCGTCGGCTGTGGCTGGCATCCTCAATCGGGTAGTAGATGCACCTAACCTTCTGTTCTGTGCAACAAAACTTTTAGTATCATTCATAGATTCTGTAGCTGCTAAAACTCTGTTGCTCTGCAGACTACTTGGCTTAGACTTCATAAGACCTCTCTCTCTATTTTGAGATGTTTGATTTTGCTTCTGAATCTTATCCACATGAGTAACAGATGATACATCCTTCTTCACATTGCTCCTTTGGCGGGCGCCATGCATCCCTATTTGACTTCTGCTAATAGTTCTCTTGCCCAATATGAGTTCCGCACAGTAAGATACATCATCTATTTCTGGAGTGGCGTCTGAGGACGAACTCTCAGAAACTCTCTCGTGTTGATCCCTGCTGCCGATAATCGGCAACCTCGGCATATTTCTTCCTAGGCCTTCACAAGAAGGTTCAGAGTAACTACAGACAGGTGATGAAACATTTGGTGTACCATTCTTACTATGAAGCAAATAACCACAATTTTTACATGAAGGCACAGATGTACCCTTCAAAGTCTTTGAATCCACATAAGAATTAGAGCCTTCCACCAAATGGTGTGTTGCTAAATCTGCTTTGTCTTCCAAGGGAGAAAAATATTTAGGGTAAGTGAGAGCACATTTCGCCCTATTCTTTTGCAAACCCGGTTCCAATATCCTACTTGCAGCCCCAATCAACCTAGATGCATTTCTACCAGAAACATTTCTGGGACTTTTTACAGGAGAAACCAATTTAGGCTGATGTTTTCTTGGCCTTGACAATACAGTCTTCAACTGCAATGCTTCAGCACTAAATCTACTGACTGGGCGTCTTTCGCTCAGCCCTATCTTCTGAAGCTTTTGAGGCCTCAATTCGCGCTTTATTTCAGCCTTCTCAAAATTCATATCTTCTCTATCAGATCCGCCAGGCCGAGCACCAAGTTTCTCTGCCATATTGCTCCCAGTTTCAGAAGGTGAAGCCTTTTTCGGTGTACCACATTGTCCTGTAGGCATTGATTCCAAACCCATGAGCCTAGCAACCAAACTTGGAGCTTTCATTTCACGCTTGCTTTCACATTTGCTCATCCCATTGTTTTTTGTATTTGGAAAACCTCCACTGTTCTCATTAGCAATCTACATTGTTCATACAAGAACCAAAAAAACAATAAAAATATAAACTTTCTTGTCAGGCCTTACAACTAAGTCTACAAAAAGCAAAGCTAAATGTGGTAACAAATAGTTCATGAAATGAGTACCAAACGATGCTTTGGTTGCTTCTCATCCCCTCCAAACTTCTTTGAAGCTTGTTTCAACCGAGCTATAAAAATGCAACACAAACAAAAATATTACACCTATAGAATTACCCTCAAGAAAATAACCATTTTGCTTAAAAAATGAGTGGAAATTTAAGAGCTAACCTGGTGAGAGCAGTTTCTTTGGAAACAGCTTCTTTTTAGCAAATCTACGGTTCCAATCAAAGAGCTGAAAGAAAATGCCCACACAACCACCAGGCCTTTGAGGTTTTTTCTCAGTAATGGCCAAAGATGATGCTGTTATTGCTACACTATCACTCATTTCTCTAGCTGAACTAAAAAGTTATCACTCAAAATCCTCTCTTGAATTTCTAGCTGAATGTGATTTACCTACTTTGGCTTCCCAATAAGATTCTGTCTAAAACATTATCTAAATATTAATCGGAAATAACCCCTACTGGTCCCTCTGACCCCCCCACATCACTCAACCCTCCTTTGCTACACAACCACGTAAAAAAAAAAAAAAACTCACATTTTCATGCAAGAAACAGAGCAAAAACCCAACAAAAATTTCAGAAACAAGAAAATAGCAATGAACAGTAATACCCTGGATAGTGTTAAATGATAACCAACTTTTCACAAGAAACCACTCTAAAACAAAGAAACACAGAACAAGAAAATACAAACAGTAATACCCAGAATGTCTTTTACTTTCACGCAATGAGCTACTTTTCAAGAAAACAGCTAGAACTGACTATGAGACACTCTGGGAAGATTAAAAAGGAAAGAAAGACTGAATCTTGGATTGAAGATTCTCTTCTTATTTTTTGGGTTGGCAGTCAAAAAAGTAGAATCATATTCTACACTAGAGCACATGCTGAATCACGCAACCATAGAATAAAAATCTTTTCTTTAACCAATTGAGGAACCCCAGAAAGTGAAACCTTCTGTTCTTCTGAATAAAGCTGTGGTGGTGAAAACGGCTCTTCTACACTTTTTCACAGTGAAGAGCAGAGTGTAAGGGGAAATGGGACAAAGGTTGATGCGTAGGATAAGAAGAAATGGGACAAACTGAGCAACCCCACTCTCCACTGTAGGATTGGTCAACATGCAACATCTTCGTTCAATGTTTGGTATAAGAGAAATATACACGGTCTTCAGTATTTTGTTTATTTTAAAATTGTTAAAAATTACTTTTACTTTTTTAATAAAATCTTAAAAGTTGCTTCATGAACCCCGTGAATAGTTGTATGTGTAAAGACTCTTGAAAAGGTAATATGCTGACGCGCTTTTTTCCATATTTGATGTTCCTTAGCTAATGTATGGCTTTATCTTATAGCCTGTTTTGGGAGTTTTGGTCGAGCTTTTAAAATTAGTTTTTTTTAAAAAGTATTTTTTTTAAAAATAATTTGTGATTGACGAATTAATTTGAAAATATTTTTGAGCAATAATTAGTAGTTGACCAAACTTTAAAAATATATTTTTAAATTTATTTTTCTCAAAAGTATTTTTTAAGAAAATATTTTTGGACAGAAGCTATTTTTTTTCTTTTGCTTCTCAAAAGTTGCATATACTTCTCAAAAGCAGCTCAATGGTATTTGTGTCCTAAAGCTAAACCTTAAGAAAATATCTTAAATTATATAAATAAAATGTTACTATATATTTTATTTGATTTCTTTTTTGTTTTGTTTTGTAAAGATGGTGTATCAACCATTTTATATGTATCTTGACTATGCACTCGGCAACTTGCTAGCTCTTATCGTGGAATGTATCTAATAACTCTAGTCATCAAAGCTTCGACAATATTAACATTCATGGTTAACATGATATTTTTATAAGTTTCATCATTTAATGCTTTCAATTTTGCAAAATATATGTTAAATATAATCATACATTTAGAATAATTCAAATCTATTTTGATTTTTAAAGTGGCTTGATCTACTATTGGTAAGAAATATCAACTCTAAAAAATACTGCAAGAGACTTTATTTTTATTTTTATTTTAATCGTCGATAACGTCATCAAATAGTTCTTTTTTACCTAGTGCATATTTATTATGAAATTCAAGTATTTACTTAACTAACTTGAGCTCTATCTCATTCAAAAGTATATATAAATCTAGTTTTATTTAATAATAATAATTTTTTTTATATATAAAATACTAAATGATATTCATAAAAGCAATTGCTTTAGTGCCTCCCCTAGAGCCGACACTGTTGCTTCTAATCAAAAATAATTTTTTCATTCTAATTTGGCCAAATACTTTAATTTTTAAAAAAAGGCACGTTTGGAAAAAAAATACTTTTTACCAAAAAGAAGTTTGTTAAACAGGTTATTAGTCACTATAAAAGAGATTATTATCAGCTTTTAATATTCAAACATATCACCGTATATCCCACGCAGCTTCTTGTATGGACTGTGTTTTTATACTTAAAAACTTACATACAGTCAAGCCTAGTATATTTGTTCACTTTGTAAATATTGGAGAAAAAACTGAACCTCGGATATTGGAAGATTCTTCTTATCTTATTACCGTCAAGCATATATTTTCCTTTCTTTTTCTTTTTCATGAGTACAGTACCGTCGAGTCTACGTCTGTCTGCTATACTCTGCTGTCGTGACATGGAGGTTGGAGACGTAGAATTTGAATAAATGTATAACGTCATCCTACGCGCTAAATAAACTGTGTATCACACTCTCCTTTGTATCAATAAGGCAAGGACCACATGGTAGTTCAATGTAGCGAGTGTGGTTGTAGTTGGTACTCGAGAGTTGGTGAAAAAATTGACCTAGGGTAAATTACCGACACGTGAATATTCAAGTACCGGCAATGATTTACCGGACCAAGGTTATTGCTTCTCGTTCTACAATGTTGTTGTCCAATATCCTATTTATGACACTAATTAAAGTCGTAAGTTAATGGAAAACTAAGAAAATCACCTTTTGGGTCCCTAGTATGATTAGATTCCCACTAAATGTTTGTAAATAGGAGTAGCTCTTTGTGTCTATAAATATCGACACTAATTAGGATCAGTGGCGAAATTAGAAATTTCATTTAAGATGTTCAAACTTGAAATAAGTAAAAAAAATTCCCAGATAAATGATATTCAATATATGTTACATACATTAAAATTTAATATTTTACCTATACATACAATATAATTTTTCGACAAAGGATGGTCAGTTGATCGCCCTTAGGACTATGTACCTTCGCACCTGATTAGGACATTAAGTAACTATTTGTCTAGATAGTTAATAAAATTACTCTGTTTTCTTCGTGATTATAACTTGACTGACGAGGACCCAAGGAATTTGCCAACTAAGAAGGAAAAAGACGAAAGTAAAGAAAATGGTTTGATTGAACCTGAAAGGTATTCATAACTAGTCAACTTGCACTCACAAACGTCAAGTTATTTCCATAATTTATAGTTTGTTTGGCCAAGTCAGAGAAATCGACTTATTTTGAGAAGTGTTTTTTTTAAAAGTACTTTTGAAGACAAACAATTTATGTTTGGCTAATTACTATGAAAAACACTTTTGAACAATAATTTGTGTTTGGCCAAATTTTTCAGAAAGTGCTTTTAAGTATCAAATTACGAATAAGGACATAAATAGATTTACTTCACTTAATATTATAAGCAAATAATTAATCTCAAAAGTTTGTTATTACATGCAATAATTAAATCTTTCATTTTATTTAAGTAAAATATGAAAATAAAAATTAAAAAGTACTTAATTTTTTTAATATAAGTTAAACATATTAAAAATCATTCAACAAATATAAAAGTATTCACCGTTAAAGTCACTATATATTAGAAAGCTATCCTAAAAATAAGAAGAAATATTTACATTAATATCCTAAGTATTAGGTTTAACAGTTATTTTGGTATATACTATATTTTGTTAAGGGCATTTTTGGTAAGAAGAAAAGTCAAAATTGCTTCTGCTTCTGCTTTTGGGAAGAAGCTACTTTTTTCTGTTTCTCAGAAACTGCTTCTCCTTCTTCCCAGAAGCATTTTTTTTCCTCAAAAAAGCTTGGCCAAACACCTCAAGTTAAGAAAAAAAAGTACTTATGAAAAAAAAAAAACACTTTTAACCTCTTGAGAAGCATGGCCAAACAGACTACTATTCTGTGAGAAATTGAGAAAAAGAACTCGGTTTGCTCTAAAATGAGTTATATCATCAAGAAATAGTACCACTCCAACTAGTTCTTATCCGGAAATTGTACACGTTCCATTGAAATATGGAGGATAACGTCTGAAAAATACGGATCAAAATCAAAAAATGTATAGAAATAATATAGATCATGATTCAAAGAAAAGTTTATACTCCCAAAAAAATAAGGGATAATTTCACATAAATACAACTCACACATCTGACTTGCAACATAATAGCCCAGTCAGAACTTTACAAATCTGTAGCCCAAAAATAATCGGCTAATATTTGAAAAAAGAGTATTTTCTAGCTTTTTTATTCGGCAACCGAGTTTAATCAGGACAATTATCTTATTTAGATGAAGTCATGAGATTTTCTAATTCTTCCGTCATATAATTTTGATATTTCTCCCCCAATTTGTCTTTACTACTGCAAGTTGTCCCCCAAATTTTCGCTGATTCTACTTATATGGTAAAATTTAGAAACAATTGCTGCAAGTTCGTGATTTGGCGGAGAATCAACAAGGAAAGTAGATTTATACATGAATTATTCCAGAAAAAGGAAGAAAACATGAAAAAAAATTAATTTGATTATACATATGCAGTACATGTATAATGATGTATAACTATGTATAAACTTGTATATGGAATGTATAATAATGTATATCAAAAGAATAAGAGAAAGAGAAGAAGAAGATAAGTGATGTTATGAACATGTATGCACATTTATATATAATTATATATATTTATACACAATTATACAATAATGTATAAGTGTGTATAAATAGTGGTTATACAATATTTATACCAGAACACATCTTATGTTCAATATTACACCTCTATTTCAGTATCAAAATATCAAAAGAGAGTTTTTCAGTAGGAAGTTAGATCTGAAAATTAAAGAGGATAGAAGATGGAGATGGAATTATTTTATAAAAGAAGATAAAACTGAAACATCATCTGAAGAACTTGAAAATTGTCTGAATACAACACAAGACCTCTTTTTCATTCTCCGATGACTTCACTGACTTCATCGTCGACCTATTTACCTTGAAAATTGAAGGAAAAAAATGGAGGATGTCTGCAACTCTTCAACCTCTTTCCAGCAATTTGAGAAGAAACAAAAAATTATTAATGGAGGATAAACGCATTTTGTCTTAAAAAAATTCACATTGCACAAAAAAAAAAAAGAAGAAGAGAGGACTCCAAATAGAAATAGCGATTTAGTCTCCTTGAGGAGATGTTTATTACAGTAATGG